AAAATGTAGGGTCCCGCAGCGACTCTGCGTTTCTGCCTTGGCGCGGACCGTCGAATTTCATATTGCGCGGCTTTGGAAAACGTATGTTCTCGCCGTTTTTGTGGATTTTCGGATTCAGCGTTGCGGATAATCTCCAGTAAGTGGATTTCCTTAAAATCGAGTTTTTGCCCGGACACTGCCTTTAAGTCACCTCAGAGCGAACCGTCCAGGCCCTCCTTATCTGATGCTAGGTTTTGTATGGTTTAAAGACGAAACGCACATGCTATAGAGTTAAATGGCTAGACCAACCAGAAATGCGTTTTACTATTACTTCCAGACGACATTTCTTACAGTAAAAAAACGAGTACGTTATTGGTATTATTACTATATAGCTGGCTTATCCGGCTCCACCCGGCCTTGTCAAAAACAATAAAGATTCCATTTATATCCCTGTACACCTTCACCTGTGCCCACTTCTACATGCAATTCCCTACTCCCGCTGTGTTAGTAATCAGTATGCTCACCTATCTTCCTCACCAACCCTCCAGTCTCATAGCTCAAACTTTTCAAAAAACAATAAAATTGATAAAAGTAAGGATAATTCTAAAAACTGATGGCGTTATTCGGCTATCCGGGCCCTAAAATGCGATATATGGGGGTTATCCAGGCCGCTGATGACGAATATCGTAGTCATTAAGCGTGGCAGCGGGCAAAAATCATGAACCTGCCTGAAATCTTGGCAGGGAGTTACCTAAAGTGGTGTTTCAAGAATATCGTGCTTAGTCCCCACGATAAAGGCAGTTCGTGTGGTATAAAAGTTTCCCATGACCGTAATGCTTTCCTTATAGGACCACTGGCGCGCGCGATACACCCTTCGGCGGCTTTTGCCTAAGCAAATCAGGGGGAGGGTGATTTGCAGTGTGCGTTAACGTTAAGACAGGTTATGGCGCTAGAGACCGCCATGCAAACAACCGTTTCCCCATTTCGTGAATATCTGGGATCTAAATTGGTTCGAAAGCGAAATGTCCATTCAAACCCTGCAACTCACCATAACTTCACAATAACGCTTTATGACAGCGAGCAAGTTCATATTCATAAGCAGTATGCTTGTGAACCATTACAGGTATGGTTTTAAGCAAATCTGGAACTTCAACCCATCTACTGTACACCCACCGTAACCCAAGATGCGCTATCCTGCGAAATCAGCACGATATTCATGTTCAGCGCGCTAAATGACTACCCTAGACGAAGTTTAAGGCAAATCTTTGTTCAATCCCATCCCGTATAACCACCATAACTCTATGAAAAGGTCCCAATATGCAGAGAGATAGAGAGTATGAAATTCGAGCAGCATGTTAAATAAGTTCTCTGGACCGAACCCTCATGATTTTGACTTCCTACCATACACCCATCGTAATCACAAGGGGAGATGTTCTGCGGAGAATGTGATATCTGTAATCAGCATGTAAGGGTTGTTTCAGACTGCCGCACTGACTGCAGCAGACTGCAGCTGACTGCAGCTGACCGCACTGACCACACTGACCGCACCGGTCGCAGCCTCTTTTCTTAAAAGAAAAAACAACCACGATTATCAAAACAGCGTGATTTGCGCATAAGAAGATCTTAAGTTCCATCAAAATTTTTCTCAATCAAATTCTGGCGATAGTTTTTTGGTATGTTCGTATTTGTTCTAATTCTTCCTATCATTGCATATACCTGTTTTGTAATATTCTAAACCTTGTTGTCTTTTGCTTTTACGTATATATTGTTGTTGTTTGTTCAGAGCACAACTATTTATCCTCTCCGCCTACAGGCTTCAGCCGCTGCGGTCGTTGCGGTCAGTGCGGTCAGCTGCAGTCTGCTGCAGTCTGCTGCAGTCAGTGCAGTCAGCTGCAGTCTGCTGCAGTCTGCTGCGGTCAGTGCAGACTGCTGCAGTCAGTGCGGCAGTATGAAACAACCCTAAGATAATCCTTATACACGAAGTCTGAGCAAGCTCTACGACAAAAAAATTCTGGGGCCCGGATAGCCGAACAGTGCCAAACTAATACAGTATTCGTAATCAGCATGCTCGATTACCCTCCTGTGCAAACTCCCAGCCCCGCAGGTCAAACTATACAAAAAATCGATAAAATCGATAAGAGTGATGGAGGATTTTGAAAACTAATATAGTATTCGTAATCAGCATGCTCGATTACCCCCCTGTGCAAGCTCCCAGCCACGCAGGTCAAACTTTACAAAAAAATCGATAAAATTGATAAGAGTAATGGAGGATTTTGAAAACTAATATAGTATTCGTAATCAGCATGCTCACTTACCCCCCCCCCCTGCGCCAACTCCCAGCCCATAGGTGAACTCAGCAAAAAATTGGTAAAAATCGATAAAATCGATATCGATCGATGACGAAAAGTAGCCTATGGCACCCTTCGGGGCCCGAAGTGTGTGTGTGCTAAGTTTGGTCCCGATCGGTTCAGAAATGGAATTTTCTATTCGGAACATACGTACAGACAGACATACAGACAGACAAACAGACATTCAGCTTTATATATAAGATTAGTTAGAATTGTCTGATTTTTTGCCTTAGTATCACAGATCTGTCTGTGAGCCGCCGTAATTGAAATCCTCTTATGAAAGAACTTAGCAAACTAAAGTAACTAGAGTACAATGGCGAATCCAAAAAAAGTGCGAGAAATTTTTCCTTTATGGAGGTGCAATTTTTGCTAAACTGGCTAAGATTAGGCGCAAATTCCCGGAGAGTGTGAGCGATTGCCTTTGATATAACAGATTGGAAAATCAGCGAAGATAAGTTGCATTTGACGATCTAAATATTACTTCTTCGCTTTGCTAACTATGAGCACTCGGCGGGAGATAAGCAGAATCAACGATATTGGATTTTATTGGTTACCGAATTTTATCGAGATAGGAAAAGATCTAGGACTACATTTTCCCATTGTACATCTTACCGCCAGGCATTCATCTTACCAGGTAAAGATCCCAACTTAAGGTGGCGAACTGGAATAAACCGCATATCGTCAGATTCGTCTTGATGAGCTGATTCCAAATCTCTTTCCATATCTGCGATGTCGTTTTTTGGACAAAGTTATGAGCGTTAGAGGCAGTTAGAGGCACGCCCAAAAGCTGAGAAATGGCCAACTCGAATACAATGGTGTACGAATTTGCATGAGGGGTCAAAGTGCGCTCCAAATATTTATGAAAACATATGTGAATACAAACCGTGCTGAACTTTTTTCCAAATCAGCTGCAACCGTTCCAGCTGGGTTCCAGCTGATGCTCACCAACCCGCTGCTCAACAGCTTTTCATACTTTTTGCATATATTGTATAGTCGTCCTCACCCCACTAGTCGGTCGGTGGTCGAATTTGAATTCGAACTGGAGCAGACCGGCCGCGGCAGAGCGCAACAGACCCCCTTAGCCAACCGCTTGCACATGAGCTTTCCTCTTATTTTCTTCGTGTTTCTTTGCTATCTTTCGTATTGCGGCAATGTTCTTTATCAGATTTTTAGATTTCGCAGCGCTAACTACTGTTTTGTGCAGTTGTGCTCGTTTGTTTTACATTTTTTCCATGTAAACCGGGAAAAAGGATGCGATTGGAGATTTTTGGATGAGAAATCTCTTTTTTCCGTAAGTGACATACGCATAAATGTGATTTGATGAAATGTGTCAAGTTCTTTCGCTAGAATATGTACTCTAGATTTTTTTCTTGCGTTAAGGCTGAAATTCTCTCAATAAGTGTTTGTTTCAAAGAGTTAGCGGTAGAAATTTTGAAGTCTGATTAAGAACATTGCCGCAATACGAGAGATAGCAAAAAAACACGAAGAAAATAAGAAAAAAGCTCGTGAAGCGGTTGGCTGAAGGGCGGTCTGCCGCGCTCTGCCGCAGCCGGTCTGCTCCAGTTCGAATTTAAATTCGACCACCGACCGACCAGTGGGGTGAGGACGACTATACCTACAGGGCTCCTAAATTGCAGAGTCGTTTGCACCTGCGGTCGCGCGACCGCGTCGCGCCCGGGCATCAATGGCGCCGCCTCGATCGATGGCGCCGGCACCGGCAAAATGCCCGAGCGCGACGCGGTCGCGCGACCGCTGGTGCAAACGACTCTGCAATCTAGGAGCCTTGTACCTTCACCGTGAAAGTTTTTATACGAGCAAAGAACCGTTTCATATTCTTTTCGCTAGGGTTTTTATACCCCTCAAATTTTCACGGCGGCGCAATCTGCTTCGGTCGCAAAGCTTGCCCCTAAGCAATTCAGTTTGCTCTCATCATGCATGCCTTTTCATCTTCTTTTTACTTTTACGTTCTTTCTTGCTAAACGTACCTGTTATTATTCTCAAGTGGGAAGAAGGGGAAGCGGATTGGGTGGGGAGAGGAGCTGAAAGAATTGAGAAGTGAGTAAAGAAGCCATGAAGGATTAGACAAGTGCTGCATTGGTAGGTACAGGCTTCCGATCGTGGAAAACGCGTTCGGCTGCTTTTGATGCGAATTGATAGAAGAATTTTTTGGATTGTCTGTTCAGCAAGTATCGTTGATTCGTTCACCGCATGGACTACTCAAACGCTGCGGACCACGTGCGGCGCCGCTAAATTGTCGCGAAACCACGACTTGTACAATGGCGAATTTGTACAGGGACAAGCGTATTACTTCGCGGTGCGTACTCCGCAGTAATGTCCAGTCGTGCGGTCAACGAATCAACTATAGTAAAAGAGGGGTTTCTACCTTATACCTTCTATTCTGGCTTGCGATATCACAAGCAAAAAAGGCAAGTGAGAATTAGTGAAGACGGGGAGGGGTGGTAAAGGAAAGGGACTTCGTAAAAATTCTTCCAAATCAAAGGGGGCTTCGTTTCAGAATCTCCGTGGTTTCAGCTGGTGCCGAGCCCTGTTACTTAGCCACCCTGTATTTCAAATACTGACAAGGTCTAGGAGTACGTTCCCCACTAATTATGACAAAAAGCTAAGGAAATCTTCTATCTTGAGGAACAGGTTATTGACACGTAAAGCTATAGGATGATAAAGAATGTAAATGTTCAATCACCTAGGAAGTTCATTTTCACGTCTTTTATCGCTCACTTTAGCTGGGCTTGTTAGTCTACAATAACTTCCGTTTAATCACACTCCCATCGAGCTTGAAGTCAAAATTCCAGCACACGGGTCGAGCGGTACAAGAACCTTTATCCCATGCCTCAAAGTGAATATCTGTGAGTTTGAGCGCATGGGATGCAGCTTTAAGTAAAATTGACAAATTTGTAATCAATTTCTTTTCAGATGGAAAGGAATGGCCAGTGATGAACCGGTGTCATTCACGTAAGATTCTATCCAATCTAGGAGGAATATTATTAGGCATTAATTGTAGCGACGCAGGCGATTTGAGTGGAGCTGCCAAGCCCACAGGCGAACAGGGCGTGGCTGAAGGACAAGCGGAACAGAAAGGATCTCAAGACAAAGGTCCCAGTGGATCTGTAAGTCGCTTTGTTGTTCGTGCTTGCAATTATTCGCATATAAGCGGGGGCTAAAATCACCCATGTCCCCGTTTCATCCCTCTGCCGCTTTTTATATATTGTTTAACCAGTTGAACAACGGCATCTTAACCAACCTTGACAGAGCGAATCAGCAGAAAAAACAAAAACGAGGAGAAGGAAAAAGAAAAAGAAGAGAAAGACGAAAAGAAAGAGGAAGAGGGATCGCTATGAGTCTCAGAATTTTTTGTTGCGGATTGAGGGCACCCTTTGTTGTGCATCTATAGGTAATTTTCTTTAAAAATTCAATTTTGTCATTGTTTTTTCAAAAATTGCTTACTCGCGCTTGCTCTTATGGATGAATTTTATTTGCATTTCAGTTATTGCTTTTGTATGGGCTGCAACGATGTTCTTGGCTCTGTTGGCTTTCTTAGTGTGGGCAAATTTCTCTATGTCGGCAACAATACAATCAGCCAAAGAAGAATGGGCATCATAGTTGTGTTATTTGGTTATTGGGTTCTTGTTTCAATGTTTTTGTACAACATTTCTAGCTCCAAATAAAGCGTTAAAAATATTTATTCTAAACGGATGACAAATAGTGTATGGTTAGCACCCATGCTGTACAAGACTGTGTAAGGCGAGGTTGAATGATCATGATTGCAATCCCGGGATGTACTTCCGCCATGAATTCGAAAACCCGCACAAATTGCCTCACTAAATGTTGTAAATGGCAGGCTTGATTACATTGAAAATGCGCACTCCGTGGCGAGTTGCAGTGAACACAGGCCTAAGAATAGGGCCATTAGGTGCATCTTATCAACTGAGGTGCCATAAAGACATCAAAAATAATACTTATGACAAGCTGGCATGCCCGGCTTCGCCCGCGTCGAGATTTGACTGGCTCAGCAATAAGCAGGATTGGCGCACAATTTTTAAACCTTTCCTCACTGCGTTATAGCTTTTTTCTACTTCTCGTGCAACCCACAGACTTCCTATTCGCTCGCCTTGAATTACTGCATCTCACTCAACGTGGAAGGGGAATGAGTTCTACCGCTATTGTTTACAACAAAGTTGGTTTGATAATATTGATAAAAGTTCATCTTTTTTCAAAATCGCGCCGCGAAAGGTAGTCTACGGGGTGGACCGACGTCGAAAATATATGAGTGCGAAGTTTCGCGCAGATTGGTCTGTACACAAGAGCTTCTATAGAGAACACACTAACTAACAATTTACCAACACTCAGTTTTATATATGTATCATCATGATTCTACTATTATAACGCGCTAAGGCCGTCTGTTTTTTTGTGTGTGTGTCTGTGTGAGAATCTGTCTGTCACGAAATTCATAGAGGAAGCTGCAATTGAGCTATCGGGCTGCAATTTTGCATAACATACCTTGCCAGAGTGTAGGCCCACCATGCACAAGGACGAGCCGGTTTGATAAGCGGGTCCCTCAAAATTTGAGCGTCAAACGGGTCCACGCGCCTCATGGCACGCAAAACTGGGTCGCTAATTCGACTTTTTGCAAAGTTATGATTTGCCTGACAAGTGACTCTGCGCCATGAATCTCGTCCAAAAAGTGTTCGAAAAATTTTTTTTGCGAAAACAGCGCCAAAAAGTGATCAACGCGTAGATAGTCGATTTGGCAAGGTTTTATTTGAAAAAACTGAAAAGATTTTTGCACTGAAATATAGCCCAAGGCGACTATTATTCTTATGACGATTATTAAACTAAAATAAATTCAATAATCCGTTCCAATTCGCATTTGTTTCCTTGCAACGAAGTTTTTTTTTTCTCAAAATTACCGATCTTACATGGAGATGCCTCATGAATGAACAGTTGTTTACGATTCATTTGTGATGCTCAGCATCGCGTGGTGAGTTCCAAAGCCATTCTCATGCGAACATGGAAAGGCATACGGATAGGGAGCCAGTGCGAACTTCCGCGAAGCGGAGGTGACGCACTGGTGTATAATAAAGCGCTAAGCGTCTGCTCAGATAATCGCCGGGGGCAGGCGGTCAGCAAAATTTTGGGGCGAACGATACTTCCGTGTTCTGCCAGCGGACAGCAATACAGCATTTTTGCAAGCGCTCGGCAGATGATTTCTTTCTGCGAGCGCGGGCCAAACTTTCAGCAGGCGCTCGAATTCTTTTTACGCAGTTTCGTGCATAAGCCTAGCAAATGTAACACTCTACTTAACAGAGGTGCCATCGATGGTTTAATTAGCCGAGTCTGGGGTGCTTTCTCTCAGCGGAAGGTACCTACGGGCTGTGCGGTCCTTCACAAAGGACCGTGCGGCCCCCAATAATTTTGCATATTCTCGCGGAAAGTCCGCGAGAATGCGGCCAGTGCGCCGCAACTAATCTATGAAAAGGCCGCGATTGTTCTCCAAGCGTTCGTCTAAATTTCGTCAACATTCTTCCAAATATCTGCGAGCGGACCGCAAGAAACCAGCGAACTATGTCTCCGGTGCCCGCCTGCTCATAAATCGCATGACCGCCTGAATGCTCAGATAATCGGCGGGGCCAGGCGGTCCGCAAACTCGCGCTTTTCTGCAAGCGGTCAGCAGAATTTTGGGGCGTGGCCAAACCTTCAGCGGGCGGCACTTCCTTCACGGTCGCATACTCTGCCGGCGGGCAGCAATACAGAATTTTCTGCAAGCGCTCGTTAATTAATCTCTTTCAGCAAACGCTGGCCGAACTTTCAGCAGGCGCTCAGACTCTTTTTACGCAGTTTCGTGCATACGCCGAGAAAAGGTGAGACTCTGTGTGGCAGAGGTGTCATCGTTGGTTTAATTACTCAAGTTTGAGGTACTTTCTCTCAGCGGAAAGTACCTGGGGGCTGCGCGTTCCTCCACAAAGGACCGTACGGCCCCGGAAATTTTTGCATATTCTCAAGGAAAGCCGCGAGAATGCGGCCACTGCGCCGCAGCTAATCTATAAAGAAACCGCGATAGTTCTCCGAGCGTTCGTCTAAAATTTCGGTCAAATTCTTCCAAATATCTGCAAGCGGACCGCAAGAAATCAGCGAACTATTTTTCCGGTGCCCGCCCACAAATCGCATGGCCGCCTGCCCCCGGCGATTATCTGAGAGTGTGTCTGTTACGAAATTCGTAAAACGTGTTCCAGCCAACCTCCTGGACGCAAATTTTGTGTGTGTGTGTGTGTGTGTGTGTGTGTGTGTGTGTGTGTGTGTGTGTGTGTGTGTGTGTGTGTGTGTGTGTGTGTGTGTGTGTGTGTGTGTGTGTGTGTGTGTGTGTGTGTGTGTGTGTGTGTGTGTGTGTGTGTGTGTGTGTGTGTGTGTGTGTGTGTGTGTGTGTGTGTGTGTGTGTGTGTGTGTGTGTGTGTGTGTGTGTGTGTGTGTGTGTGTGTGTGTGTGTGTGTGTGTGTGTGTGTGTGTGTGTGTGTGTGTGTGTGTGTCTCAAATTTTGCACAGTGCATGCTACTCGCATGAAAGTCCAACACGCAAAACACGAGCAGATTCGTTGCGGATCCCTCAGAAACTGCGCGTCCACTTTGCATTTGGGCTGCATAATCGGGTCCGTATTTCCACTTTTTGCAGAATCGTGGATTTTGTTGCCAAGTAAATGTGCAAGCCCTAAAGTTAGTCCCAAAAAATGATCAAATGTCCATTACTGTACAAAAACGACGCCAAAAAGTATTGGCTGCTTAAGTGGTCAATTTGCCAAGGCTTCCAAGCTTTTGACGATATTTTTGCGCAAAGATGTAGCCTCAGGTGAACTGCTGTTCTTAAACTGTCAAGACCATGGTAATCAAAAACCTATAAAAATTTGCGTTTGTTCCCTGCAAGAAGTCTCATCCACGCAAACTCACCGATTTCACATAGGAGCTTTCGGAATGAGTAGTTGTTTACATTTTGTTCGTGATAGTCGGCATTGCTCGGTGAGTTCCAATGTCATCATATGCGAGAATGAGTAGGGTTTAGATAATAGTAGAGCCAGTGTGAGCCTCCGAAGCAGAGGTGAGGCACTGGCCATAAGACTGCAACAGGGAGCTCACATTAAGCTCAAAACGGACCGATTATCCCATATTTATATGGACCTCTTCGTGAATGAACATTTGTATCGCCTGACATTGTCATCATATTAGGTTGCTACATAAGCTCTGCCCGTTTCGCAAGTTCCAAGTAAAATATGACTTCTTTCGTGATCAAATTTTTTTGACAAACAACAACTGCTTGATTTCCTAGAATAAGAACTTTCTTGGTTATCATACAGATATCAAACTTATAAGAAAATCAAGCAAGAGTTTGAAAAAAATTTGACTTTTATTGATCGTGGCGTTTTTCTTTTCGGATCTACCTTGAGATTAGTAGGGGTGTTGTAGCCATCGATAAATCGAAATTCTGAAAGTATTATATTTTTTGCTTTTTCTTGGACTTAATGTTTTATCAATGAAGTCTATTGAATTCAAAGACCTTTGTAACCATACCTTCGATAGTCAAGAGACAGAGGCTAGAAAGTGATAGTTGTTTGAGTTCGTGCCCCCTATAAAAAGTAAAGGTTGTTTCAGAAAGATAGATGGAAATTTAGAGATATGAATTAAACCAGGAAACTTGAAAAATTCATATAAAGCAAAGGTTAGCACATTACCAAATTTGAAACCTTAACTTGGTGGTCTCCTACGCACAGTTTTTTCTACAAGATTGCCGGTTAAGTTGGGTGGCAACAAGAACAAAGTCCATTTTCAAATAGAAAACGCGCTGTTTAGCTGTGGCGGTAGTTGGGAGACCGAAAGAAGGAAAACTTGTCAACAACTGAACTGAACATGTTAAACATGTATGAAAAGTTATGTTGCACATCGACGCCAATCTGATTTTTGATGCGTCCTTTGAATTTTCACCCCCGCATAGTCGTTTCGTATCCTGCGACGTTGTCTGGATTCTTCCGCTCATCATTCTGAGCAAGTATCGTCCAAGCTGGAGAAAATTCGTTGCAAAAGCACTGAAAGAGAACAAGGTAAAGAAAAACGCACATTTTAGTAATTTTCGCGAAAAAACCGGCATGAGCAAAGAAGTGGGCTCGGCGACGTCTACATCATAGACAGAAACAAGATCTATCGAATACACAAAAAAAACCGAGTGAAAAGACTTAAATTGAAGAAAAAACAAGGGGTTTTCGAAAACGCGGTTTTTCCCAGATTTCTCGTTCAAATCATAAAAAGGAGTCTTGCGACGTTGTCAGCGTGAAAATAGAGATCAAGAGCTTCAAAATGATGTATAGATTGTCGAAATTGGGCTCCGAACAACGAAGAAAAGGGTACCAGAGCCAAATGCCCCGCGCCCCGCGTTTGGGGTAGCGAGGTAGCGCGCCAGAGACGCAGACGAGCAGCGGAGACAGACCAGAGCCGACGGGGTTGGCTCTGGTAGTAGATCTCCGCGGGATCTTAACGAAACCCAACAACATTATATATCACCAGTGCGTCACCTCTGCTTCGCAGAGGCTCGCACTGGCTCCACTATCTAGGCCCTACTCATTCTCGCACAATGATGGCATTGGAACTCACCGAGCAATGCCGACTATCACGAACAAAATGTAAACAACTACTCATTCCGAAAGCTTTTTTATGTGAAATCGGTGATTTCGCGTGGATGAGACTTTTTGCAGAAAAACAAACACAAATTTTTATAGGTTTTTGATTTTCCCGTGTCTTGACAGTTGCAATAAGAACAGCAGTCACCGTGAGCTACATCTTTGTGCAAAAATCTCGTCAAAAGCTCTGGTAAAACCTTGGCAAATTGACCATTTAAGAACCAATACTTTTTGTCGTCGTTTTTGTAAAGTAATGGACATTTGATCACTTTTTTTGGGCCTAATTTAACGGCTTGCACATTTACTTGGCATAAACATTCACGACTCTACAAAAAGTGGAATTACGGACCCAATTTTGCGGCCCAAATGCAAAGTGGATCGTTTGACGCGCAGTTTCTGAGGGATCCACTAAACGAATCTGCTCGTGTTTCTGATTGTTGGACTTTCATGCGGATAGCACTGTGCAAAATTTGAGAGAGAGAGACACACACACACACACACACACACACACACACACACACACACACACACACACACACACACACACACACACACACACACACACACACACACACACACACACACACACACACACACACACACACACACACACACACACACACACACACACACACACACACACACACACACACACACACACACACACACACACACACACACACACACACACACACACACACACACACACACACACACACACACACACACACACACACACACACACACACACACACACACACACACACACACACACACACACACACACACACACACACACACACACACACACACACACACACACACACACACACACACACACACACACACACACACACACACACACACACACACACACACACACACACACACACACACACACACACACACACACACACACACAAAGTCACGTAAACATCCTTAGCCCGTTATTATAAGTAATGATTCTGATCGTCATGACACGACGAGGAGCACTGACAACGTCGCGGGTCTCAAAAAAACTCCATAACGCGATAGACCAGCATTTATGTGGCGACTCTCTGCGAAAGATTTGAGCGCAGTTTCTCGTCTTCAATGAACTCCATCGGCTTTCATAAACTTTCCAACGCTCAAACACAGTTTAGAGAAAGGTTGATTGAGAAATTTTGTCCTAGTCTTTGATTGAATTTTTAAATAGAAACCTTCTTTTCAACAAAAAAGGCCATAAAAACGCAATTCTTCGGTTTTTTGAGCTTCTTTTATGTCACTACTATATTTGCCTTATTCACATTCATCCCTATATGGTTATGTCATTTTTTATGTCATATATCCGGGGCATTGTCCCAAATGACTTCTGTACTTCTCTCCAGGCGAGGGTTGTGTCCTATCATGACAGTCAAAGTGAAGGTTACTAGAGTACATGGCTCTATGTATCGAAGGTATGTTTGTAACATTCAGATTGAAGAGGGAGTACAGCTCTAAAACTCTGGTGGAATTTTTAGAGTTTAGTATTTCAACGCTTATTAATATTACGAATTATTTGATGGCTGACATATTCCAAAATCTTTGTCTGCGACTCTTTGGAAACTCTTTAGTCTTTACGAATTCCACTCCTTTCAAAAGGAGATTGTTTTAGGTGCATTCTGCATTGACTATTACTGTGCTGGATTGTCAATCGCAATTTTGTGATACATCTACTATCCTTGTTTTGAGCAATATTTCTGCCACACTTACGCAGTAAAACCACAATAGCTTCTCCTTACAATAATAGATGGGAACTCCTACACGTACTATTTCGGATTGATTGTACAGTATGATTTTTCTTTAAACCATTCAAGGTATAGATTTATGTCACAACCCAGTGTAGCAGAGCCTTCGCATATAAAAAATTGAGGGTTCATTAGAAAACATCAAACTTAAAATCTTTTTTCTTAACTTCCTTCTCTTCCTCAGAGGGGATGAACTGGTGCATGGATTTCAGCGGCCACCATAGTTCTAATACAGTACTTGAGCAAACTGTATGTCTTTTCACTGCACGAAAACGAAGTCCAAGAATGTGAGCGGTTTTCAGTTGTTCTTTCACTGCTACTTAAATCCTTAACAACTTCCATTTTTGGAATGTAAATGTAAAATCGTAATCTCTGCGCATAAATTTCGCTATACATCTTCAAAATTAAATTGATAATTGAACCATTCATAGGCTTTATTCGGAGCTACAAATGTTATACAAAAAACATCATCGAACAGATCTCAAAGGTCACGATTCCCTTACTGATTGTACCGTCGCCGAAACAGAAAAGTCCGCCCATATCAGAAAAATGAGCAAGGCGATGAATATTGAACAAGTCCAGACAAATGCGACGACTGAAAAGTGAATAAAGTAAGCCCACAAAAGGTTAATCAACAATGGCGCATACCCAAAGATGCACAGCATAGTGTGCCTTCAATCCGCAACAGAAAATTCTGTGACTCATATCTGTCCTTCTTTCTCACCTTTTTCGTCTTTTTCTTCTTCTTCTTCTTTTTCTTCTTTTTCTTTCCAGTTCCGGTCGAAGCATCGGTCTACAACATTTTTTTTTCGGAATTAGATGCAATCATCAAGTAGATTTGTCCCTTTTTGTGTTAGTATTTGGCTTACCTCAGTACCAGTTTCGGATTCGTTTTCTGCACCTGCTCTGGCTCTTTCAGTTTGGTCCATCAATTCCCACATACCACCCTGCTCGGGTTGATCTGTTTGAGTTGCCTGATCGACATTGTCCCTATAGATCGTTGCTCATAATGTGCAGAGAAGCTCGGAACTCCTTACGTAAAAGATGCTGAATACTCCTCCGTGGGAGGATCTGGCATAGCGAGTTATTGTGAGTTAAGAGATGCCAGTCAAAGGCCGGCGACCGTTAGAAGATTTGCTAAATGAGTATTACCATTTTAGTAGATGCTCACTTCGGGTTGTCAACACTGTTTGTAATATAGTTGTTTTCAGATAGCTGTAAGTATCTTTCATTCTTAGAATGCGTTTGGGAATCTCGGCAGTCATCAACCTGCAGGTCAACAATGGTGACCAAACACTAATTAAAAAAATTCACTTCTGGCAGAGGCTTTCCGAAATATGGGAGTGGGACGACAGAAGCGGTGTTAGCCACGCTTTCCAGGATAAATTTTGAGGAGATTTCTAGATACCTAGTGAGCGTAATCTCAAAATATTAGAGAAAAGGGGATGAGGGAATGGCTAGCCACGCATCTTAAAAACCTTAGACGAAGCTAAAATATTTCAATCATTTATGAGTGAAGAAGTCGAAATGCGGAATGGAATTGCGGAATCTAACTCACAGATTACTGTCGGCCCTCCCCCCCCCCCCCACCTTGCATCTTGCTTTCAAGAAATCAATTGCTACCTCTATCGCTTACTAATTTTACCTCCCTCCCCATAGTCATTGCAGAAAGGTGATAATTTTTTTCTTTTTGCTCAGTATGGCTACAGATGAAATGGTTCCTAAATAGATTACTCTCCTATGTAATTGAACGAGTTAATTTATTGGATGAATGACATTGTTATGGAGTGTTTTCATTGCATTCACCAGACGATCCGGTCTTCGGTGCTCGTTCAATTCGCGATGAGTACATAATGCGCAAACAGTGTGGGATTACCAACTTTCACTATTAATACATCGATCCAATCTTGCTGCAGCATGGGCTTTCAGTATCTTTTTTCGTGACATTCCATATAACTAGTTCTATTCTGGTCCTTCATTTTCTGCAAAGCTTCTTCTTCGATCATTCACTGCAATATGTAAAATCTAAGCCTAACTCCTTTCACAATATATCATTTTTGCGACGTCGCAGCGCGAAATCATCGAAAATTTCCTTTGTCCAGCATTGACTCCAAAACACCTTTAATTTGCAGAACTTTTGTGCCGGAAAATTTCACAAAATAACATTGCTCCATAACCCCACAATAGGATTGTGTTTCCCAAAAGTATACATTCTTTTCCTTTGGTTATAGCTCCCGAATGTAAGATAGCTGTAAGTTAGCTCGCGAATATACACTAGCCAGTGGGGGACAGAGGGAAGAGATGCCACCCCCTCCCCCGAGAATGGGTCGCAAAATTTTCGAAATTCACTTGCATGGGTTATAAAAATGCGCATATGACTTGTTCATTTGTAGATAATTGGTATAATTTTTTTAAAAATTTTAAAATTCAATTTGGCCTTGTAAAAGCATTTTTTGGGGTGTGGCTGCAACCACGCCCCCTCTTTCTAGTTATAGGGATATGAGCCCGCAAAAATTTTGAGAAGCATCCCAAAAATTTTTTGGAGTGCGTGGGTAACGCCACGCACTTCCATTCAAAAAAGTTTTTTTTGGCCCCCCCCCCGGACGGAAATTCTGGGACTGACCTCACTTATTTTCACCTCGCTTAGTGTGATCGCACCAATTTTTTTTATTTGCGAGCGTTTGTTTACCTTCTTTATCGTTTTGCACATTTTCTCGGTCGTAATAGTAATGTCGATCGCTTTTGCACGGATGTAGGCCCTTTTGAACCCTCCGCGCGCGATGCCCGTTTGGCCGCGTACAGCGCCGCTGGCAAAGCTATCGTCGAGTCGATTGTAACTTAATAAGCGTAATGCACACTATGCATGCCAACTGACGAACTTTAAGACTAGAACCTGTTCATTTTCAGTGATTGCTCCTTGTTTCCTTGTTTCTTTTCTTTTTGTTGCTTATATGTCAGTCAGTAGAACATAATTCTACACTTTGTTAGGTTAGAAAATGTTTTAGTGGAAAGTTACTAGTATGGGTGCCGTCGTTAATAGGGCTTAGTGTGCAGTGTCACATATTAAGTTACAAATGACTCGAGGTTACCAAGTTGCATTCATGGTCAACGGGGAAAATCCTTGGTTTGAAGCATGCATTATTGTGCCAAAACATATCATCAGGTTGGACACGAAAAATGTACAAAATGATCCTCCGTCCTACTCATAGCCTTGTCGATGGCAGTGGACATGTCGACCAATCAGAGGCGCGCCGTGATAGCGAGCGGTTCAAAAGGGCCGTTTCCCCTTTGCACTGCAGATGTGGAAGGCGGTGCAATCACACAAAGTACTGCTGGATGATGACGACTATACATAAGCAGAACGTTTTGATCTTTTTTTGTGACTTTCTCATGGTCAGAAGGAGAGATATATCAGCAACGTATAGGTTGCCGGCAATGGTTGTCGGTGTTGTCGATGTTGTCGGTATTGTCGGTGTTGTCGTTGTTGTCGATGTTGTCGGTATTGTCGGTGTTGTAGATGTTGCCGGTGTTGTTAGTGTTGTCAGTGTTGTCGGTGTTGTCAGTGTTGTCGGTGTCGTCGGGGTTGTCGGTGTTGTCGGTGTTGTCGGTTTTGTCGGTGTTGTCGGGGTCAGAGACAGTTTAGAGAGCGCGCGAAACGTGGAGGCTATCATGAGGTCTACAACGACCGGCAACCTCGGGAACCCCGACAACATCGACAACACCGACAACACCGACATCACCGGCAACACAGACAACCGTTGCCGGCAACCTATTGCCGTTCTCTAAGATATTAAAGCGCTTTTCTCATGCAATTTTTAACTTCTCGGATTGGTTATGAGAGGTAGCTGACTGCAAAGGCCAACAAATGCGTTCACTGATGCGCCGTGCTAATAGCCTTGTAGTACCGGCAATTCCACTACCGTACAATAATTCTCACACAGATTTGCGGACCATATTTGGATGAGTTCTACAAACCAAGATGATCGTCACTTGCAACTTGAAAAGTCAGGTTCCTCGAATGCTCTTCATAACAGAACAAGGAGAATATTCTATAATTTGTGCTTGAACAATCAAAGGATTATGATAAAGTTTGTAGAATTAGTAAGTTTATTTGCTTGACTCTCTGTAAAAACCCAAACTAATGTGTAATAGTAGATATTCAAATATTTGAGGCAGTTTCTGCAACTTCTGTAGTCTTGGTTGCCATTTCACATCCTGTCTGGAACGAAAGAGATACGATCCTTGTGATGTGCTCTATAGCTTTATTCGGTTCCTTCGCATTTTTGATCAGCTATGTGTTCGCGCTTGATGAATTTGTCTCATCTACATCATGGTTTATAGTGGTAGGTTGATCAGCTGTATACTTAGTCAGAGCTTCCATATAAAATTATTCTATTCCAGGAATCTACTTACTGTACTGTCATTGCTGTAGCTTTGCTCACATGCGCGCTCATCTTTCTGCTCATAACCTCCTCACATTGGGCTGACGTCAATCCATCACGGCAAGCAGCTGCTGCCTTTGCTTCGGTCTATAACCTGCTCAGTTTAATGTATTCGTTGAGTTAATGTAATTGCAAAACTTTAGGGTTCTATGTTTGTCTGCTCATTGATTCACTTCATTGACGGTCTCCTACTTCTTGGCAACTGGAAGCGTTATTCTTGGGATATAAATGGACCTAATGCCTTGACGAGAGATGACATCGCTTTCTAGCATGCTCAAAAGTCGGCGGTTTGTGTACATATATATATATACAAAACCTCTAATCTACTGTACAAATGAAGTCTGGAAGCTTAATTGACTAATGAAGCTATCCCACAGATTTCAAAGAAATATTCATTTATTAGTTGGTTGTTTGTTTATTTGTTTATTTATTTACCCATGCCCCCATGAGTAAGAATGGAATTCAAATGAAATTGAAAAATGCGGTGTGACTGGGCGCATGGTGTAACAGTATACCATGGCTTGAATCAAAATCTTAGCCCTAGTGAGGAAACAAAGGGAATATACGGATGTTCAGTACTTATGCTGCCACGCGGGACTTTGCGGTGCTTGATTTACGGGCACAGTTGACTGCGACACCTCAAACTTGAGTAATTAAACTTTATTATAGCAACACTAACAAGCACAATATAACGAGCAATATGTAGACAAACAGTATTCAAGCACATAAGATTTAGATGAGATGTGAATAGTATGAAATTCTGTGAATCTGTGTGACTGTGAAAGCAACTGTGGAACGACTATGAGCTTAAACAACAGAGTACAAAAGCAAGCGATGAACAATAAAGTGCAGAATGAGAAAATAATGTAAAGCGCGCTACCCTTGCTAAACTGTATAGGGGCCTGCAGGATCGCGAGAGTCGGACGTGCGTACGGCCACGGCGCCGCGCACGTCCGATGTCACTAAGGCAGGTGCCAGACTTATCCACTTCAGCCGGTTCGTTCGGTTCATAGGTCAAATCACTACACTGTCCAACAGCAAAAGTGGTGAACCGAGTGAACCTGTTCAAGAGGATAAGTCTGGCACTTACCTGAGTCGTCGGTCGCACATCTGACGTGCGCGGCGCAATGGCCGTACGCACGTCCGACTCTCGCGATCCTGCAGGCCCCTATATCAGCGACTTATATAAGTAAAATATAAACAAATTCCACTAAGCATGAAGAATCTACTGATAAGTTAACAGCTAACAAAACAATAAGTATAAGTCTGTGAGAAACTTCGTGTGTTAGCAGCTGTTGATATCTTCGGGGCACAAAGTACAGTACGAACAAGAAAGTTCGTATAGGGATCTTGGGCGGATGGACAATTGGGATTTCAAGGTAAAATGCTCACTGGGCCTCGCGTTCCTCGAAGCTTTTTGTGGAAACATAAGCATAAGCATAAGCACTGCAAAAACCCGGTTAACATAAGGACTTTTGTGAACACGTTGTTACTCAAAGGAACTCAAGCGATGTACGAGTTTCTAACTGATTGTCAAGCAATGTATCCGCGCCAACACACCAGCAATTACCCCTCCACTCATCGCTCCCTTCCCTCTTCAGTCAATTAGGATTAGCAACCGTCCTTCCACCCTCGACTTTCCCCTTTTTCAACGCTGAAAGCAGCAAACATCTGTTTATTTCTTTTATCAGAAACGCATGTGAGTATATCGCATATAAGCACAAAGAGAAACTTGTTGTGTTGAATCTCGGGCCTGCTATGGTTCAACAAGAAAATGTTTAGAAGTCGAAGTCCATTACAAACAAGCTCAATCAATAGCGTTTACTCGCGCTACCGAAAGGGTTGCGTAACGGGAATGAATGCGCGACACATGCAATAGCCTTCGCATGCATAGATGCTTTTTAGCTTATTATTGAGCATCTTCTCTATATAGCAATCCACAGCATGTCTTCGCTCTGCATAGAGTCAAGTCTGAATCTTAAATCAACTGCTCGCATCTAGCTTTGCATATCAACGCGCAGAGCGGCTGGAAGCTTGGGAACTCAAAGCGCTGCAGGCATTTCACAGGAGATAGTGAGTGTGCACCTTCTAGACTTCACCTTCAAGTTTCAAAATGCGTTCGATGCAGCTTTTCCTTCTTTTTCTTATGGTTATATTAGGTTGTAACAGAATTAGTGCAGGTTTTCTGAATTTTGTGTTTGGATCATTATAACTTTTTACACAAATGGTCTTTTAGTGTGCAACAAAAAGTGTTGCAATCAGCAAACCTTTTTCAACTCAGTGTGCATTATTGGGTTGTTGTAGCTTCAATGAGAAAATCTTATAGCCCGAATTCTGCCAAGAATTTTTTTGGAGAATTTACTTTGAGAAACCATAACTTACTATCAATCAAAGTAAGGTAGCGCAAATATAACTCACTGTGTAGCCTATAGTCGGTAGTGCAGTAGTGCTAAATTCGGAGTTGAAAAAGAATTCTTTTCGAGAAGATATTTGAAAAAATTTTGAAAGTACTCATTTTTTCGACTTTTCTGAGAATTTGAAAAATCGCTTTTTTGAAACTTTTAAATTTTTTCAAAGCTGAATAGGTAGAAAGGCTCCCGATTTTTTTAGCCATAGATGTCTAAAATCTATTCTTCCTATATAAAGCAGAAACTCCGCAGTCGCTTCACGCTGAGGATTTTTATGTAGGGCAGACGGACCACAGCGACCGTTAAATTTTGCTCTGAAATTTATCGGCTCAGATGTTTTCAGAATTCATGATCCATCATGCATTTTGTGATATAGCACATTCAAAAATACAATGTCAATTTGCAGCGAATTCCGATTGTTTTTGATGGTTTTAGAGCCAGGTATATTAAAAGAAAGAATTTCGAGATTAGGTTTCTCAAATTCATGGGCTCAGAACTTTTAGACAAATTCACTTCCACTGAAACGAAAGAATGCGTAAGAAATTAGAAGAAAAGGGCTTCCAAATGATATGCAAAACTCTTCGAGAAAATTGCCACTTGCCAAATTGCCAAATTGCCACTATTTGCCACTTCTAAACCAGCATTTTGAAAAAGGTGCGCGATAAACTTGCATCAATTCTGTTACAACTTAATATATTCAAACCACAATCCTGCATGCAATTTTTGGTAGTTGCCAAATATCTTCACCCGCCATTTTAATCTGCTTAAAGTTCGGTTAATTTTGAAAATTTTCATTCCAAAGTTTCAGAAAGGGTCGAGTACTATTGAACCAGTAACCTGAAGGCGCTAGATTGCAGCAGGGCCCGGCACGGGTCGGTTTCTAAGGTTTCTGAGAACGAAGTCTCCCCTGATTTTCCGAAGTTTTACGAAGTCCCCTTTGACCTACCTGCTTAGGAGAAGATGAAAACAAGAAAGATTTACTAGTCTGAAAGAAAAAACATGAGATAAGGGTGAAAATCCAGGTTGGAGCTGAATACTACTGCACAAGAATTTGGCACTGCAGCGCGATATTAGAGCGACTTATGAAGAAATTAAGACAAGAAAAGGCAGTGATTTGGAAATGTTTTTATGCTCAAGGATAGATTTTTGGCCGGGGAATACGTCCATGATAGATTAACCCAAAACTTATGTGAATTGACAGAAATATATGCTCCAGACGGTCTCAGAACGTTTGGTGACCGTCTGGAGACGGACTAATTTTGAAAAAGGTATTACTTTACATACGTTTTCAAATAATTTTGCACAGTTCCTTTGCAAATAATTTTCTGTGCATACTGTTCAATTTTGGTGTCATACGGTTCTGTGTGCGCTGTAAACAAGCAATTTGTTTATTTTACCCTTGCTTTGAAATCGCACGCACTTTTCGCCATACACGACAGAGCATGCCAATCGTGTGATAACCTGTCCGAAAAGTTTGTGTTCGATTAAATGGCGCTTATTCTTTGTGCTCGGCTACGACTGGTCGAAAACGATATTTCCTTCGCCTTTTGCTCCAAAAACGAAGTCCAGCCTGCTTCCAGACGATTCGTGGGCCCTGATGGCATGCGCGCGCTTCGGGACCGCACCTCGCTTACGTTTCTTTATATATCAGATGGTGCAAATAAAGCAAATCTCGGACTATACTATAGTGTTTTAGATTTTCCTCATCTGCAATTATTTCTTCGGAGATCTCGATTTTTGGCAAAGTCATAAAACACCCACTGCAGCAAAAACATGAAAGATCTGAGAGTTACTGCGAGTCGAAACCTAATTGTTATTGAACTCGTACTCTTGCGTGGTAAACATGATCAACAAGCCGCGGATTTTCCAAATCGCGAAGGCAGCGCAAATCAGAAAGCAAATATAGCTTAAAAAGAATAAAAAATTGAACTAAATGTTACCTAGGTCGTTTTTGAATAGATGTTCTGCGAGTTTTACTGATCGATGAAAAAAACCGACAAAACTTCCGGGACAATCTTAAAATGGCTTATCACTCCCATCACATCTCAGAAAAGTTTAGTAGGGCTGTTCGCAGACTACTTCATCAAGCCAGACCTTAACGATGTGGTGAGGATCGTCGACATTCCGTCCGCAAACCTTAAACAGCGGCTAGTACGAAACCGGGAATATGATCGTCTCTGTACAACTCCTAATTGTGTGATTTGTCCGTTCGACAGGGAAGTCGACGAGATGTTTGATCGGGTAGTTTACTTATGTGTTTTCGGCTTTTCTGACTCTGTAGAAGGCGAGTTCATCGAAACGTTAGTCTGTATTCTGCGCGACAAAGTCCTGTACCAATCTTGGACCGAGAAGATTACAGCTATGACAAGATTTATGGATAGTCGAACATGGAAGCTTATAATTCCTTTTCTAGAAAATTTGAGCAGGTAAAAAGGTGGATCTGGAGGTAGAGTTCTTCCCACGTCCACCGGTTTACAGTTTGGGGATAGTCATCGACAACTGACCATTCCTTTGCAAGCATGTCCTTAGCTACGCTTTGGTTTGTGTGTAAGGTTCGGCAGAGTTTCGCAGAGCAGCTAGTACTGGGAAACATCTTAGGTAAGGTAGTTGATATTCGCCGACCTTAAGAAAATCAGTTCCCAACAACTACTCATTAGCAAGGAGACAGGCAAAAAGCAAGTGACCTTTCTAACTAAGAAGGGAGGTCCGTTTGGTCTAAGTGGCCTTTTCCCGTGAAATTGATACGACTAGCATCAAACGCTTATTCCAAATCTGCCTTCTTTATCTGCCGAGCGCCTCTGGACGTTGAGTTATGATCGGTTTTTGAATTGAAAAATGAATGCAACATCAAAAAAAAAATT